GTGTTTTTAGGCTCTTGTGTGTCAGTATTGTGCAAAAGCCCTAATAAAACTGCTGTTCCGAAGTGTTTGTACTGACACCCTGATCTGTTCCTCCGCAGTGCGTGCCTCGGTGCAGGGGCAGGATTCCCGCCAGTGTTAAGGGGGTCTTTTTCCCTCCCAGTCCTCGCGGACCCTTATTTTGGGGATATTACTTCAAGCACGTCCTGAGCTCTTTCTGAAAGTATATTCAGCCAATTCCTTCCTGGGTTTCAAAACATGCTTGGGACATCTTTATTCTTTATCACAGTCGAGCTTCTTAGAGTGAGGTGATATCTTTTATTAAATCAGTTAATACAGGTTGGGTAAGTGGACAGGCTTTTAGGCAGAGCCTGCCTTCAAGGCTGGGCATGTATGTTAATAACTCTAGGAAGAGGGATTACTGGCTCATTACTATGAGGTTGTGGAGAAGGAAGGAATGTGTAGAGCTCCTTTTTGATAACAGTTGAGCTTCTGAACAGCCTAAGAGCATAAAGTTTGTGGTAGATTCTCATATATCTGACATGGCAAAGGTTTTTGTTGGCTAGTGCTCCAGTGACCTGCTTTGACTGCAGGAGGCATGCCAGCAAAACCAGCATGGACACTAAGCACAGCCTCTTCTTAGGAGCACACAGGAGCGAGGAGATCAGGTCCTAAGTCACGTTCTCAGTAGAAACACACAGACTTCAAAGTTCAGGGCTGTGCTGGTGCCCAACTTTTAGGAGAGTGCTTGGTTGGCATCCATTAGCAGTAGAGTTGTCAATATAAATAGTAATTACACTCCTTTCTCAGAGAGGCGGTGCTGAGGTCAGCATTTCTGCTGTTCTCCGTTCCCATCCCCTCCATGCAGCAGTCTGAAACTGGGTTGTAAGTGCAGGAGGTCGTGACTGGAGCCCCCGTGCGCCGTCCTCTGCAGCCCAGCTCCACGACTGTGCCCAGCCTTTGACTTGCCTGATCTGCCTGTTTCACGTGGGGTGGCAGGGGTAAAACGGTGATACATCAGCTATGATTTGGGGAGGGTTTTAATTTCTTTCTGTTTTTTCTGTTCTGTTTTTCTTTTCTTTGAAGGTCTCCAAGTTGCCAAATCTCCGCTCCCTAAGTCAGCTACTCCTTCTTGACATCATAGAATCGTTAGCTAACCACATATCAGACAAACAGTGCGCAGAGCTGGGCTCAGACATATGATGTGCTTTGGTGATCGAACTTTCAATTTGTTCCTCAAAAAAACTAGCACTTTATGGCTGACTCTCTTTTTTACCATTCCATACTGAGCTGCTCAGAGCGTCTACACAACATAGTAGGCGGCCAAGAGGAGCATGGACAGCTGAATGGCTCTCCCATGGATTTGCTTCGTTTGTACCTTTGTGGAGAAGGGTTTGGTCTCTGTTACGCAAATGTAAAATTGAAAACCATTACAGAAATGAATTCACTCCATGTGGTTTTGGGAGGAACTAAGTTCAGAATCAAGCCCATTATTACTTTTATACTGTAAAATAAAGCAGTCATGAGTAAGAGAGTCATTAATACTTTGAAACACAATATTTAAAGAATACTTATTTAAAGAACTTTGGCTGACACAGCCAGGGGCTGTAAGGGACTCAGATATAACAAAACTAGAAACAGAGGGCGTGGTTTTCGCAGTGAGGCTGACCGTTGGACCAGAACGTAGTGACTTTTCAGAGACTCTCCATGGCGTGGATTAAAAGATAAGCCCTTTCACAACTGCCTCGATGGGTGGGCTGCAGGAAGTCCAGACCTGTGCTCTGCAGCAGGTCAGACTAGAAGATTACAGCGGTCCTTTCTGACCATCAAATCCATTAATCCTGTCTCGCTAAGCCTAAATCAATTTATTAATAAAGAGTTAACATCTTCTCCTTTAATGATTGACTTGGCTTTCATTTTGGAAAAAATTAAGCAAAAAGAGCTCTGAGCTTGATGAAGGTCACTTTGTTAAAAATAAGTGTGCTACATCTTGTTACTAATTTTATGCTGAAGTGTCTTTGTTAGTCGTTGCCTTTGCAGGAAGGTGAATGAAGGCAGAGCGCCCTTCCCAGCCAGTTCAGAAGCAGCTGCTGTTCCCTCCCGGTTGCAGCTCCGCAGCTCCCCGCCGTGCTGGATGCTTCCCACACTGCAGAGGGGAAAGGAGTTTTACCTCCCCCCGGCTGCTGAATGATGCAGCTTGGTTGGGGAGGGTAGGAGATCAGCTGGTGTTGGTGAAACATCTGCAGACAGAACTGCTCCCCAGCCCGAGAGCCACCAAGGCGACACAGAGGAGGGAGTGACATAGAAACTGAGAATCAAAATCTTGTCCTGCCTTAAGCTGCACCAGTTCGCAGAGGTGAAGCAGAAGGCAGCACTGACCTGGTGCTGCTCTCTGCTTGGCTTTTTGGATGGCAAGAGTTGGCTTGAGCTGGAGTGGTGGAAGATCCGTCCTGAAGTGGGAAGCGCAGCTGCCCAGCCCCTGTGTTTCTACCCTTGCGGCCATAATTTTTAATTCAGGCCAGTAAAGTGTTCCCAGTGCAGTACGAGATGTGAGCTCCTGTTCAGCATCCTGCAGCATGACATGCACATGCGTGCTTCGGTATGCTGAGGGCATTGCAGTCTCTGTGCAATGGAGAATTTAATCCAAGGGAAATGCTTTTGGGATCACTTGGTCTGTCTCCCAGCTGATGGCTTGCTCAGGGGAGTCAGACCAGAGGTGGCAGGTGCATCTGAGAGCTGAGGGCTCATTTTCAACCGGAGGGGTTATTTCCAGATGCCTCATAGGTAATTAAGTCTCTTGTCAGAGGTTGTGTTAATTGTACTGACAATTTGAGAAACCAGAAGATCTGCAAATGGAGAAAGGTTATATGCTACAACTTGTCAGAATACTGCAAGTTATTTTCAGCAATGCTGAATCCACTAGAGGACACCCATTTCCTAAACATGTGCAGCCTGGTTCCCTCAGTGAGGAAGAATGAGCTGATTTCAACCATGCCATAACCAGCCCCTTTGACTCCATTTTCTCAAACTATTTGGGTTTTGGAGGTTATTCCTGAGCCCATCAGTGAGGAAATGCACAGCTTCTGCACCCTCTGAGCTGGGGCACTGCGGGTGTCTGTGCATTGGAGGTGCAGCTCTAATGACCATAGTGCTCGGTCAGGGTTGCATTACATCAGTGGGCTTTATTGTCTGAAAAATTGCGGTCAATGGTCCTGTTATGTCATCGTCATGATTTGCCTCTGGGCTGCTGTTGTGCAGGGTGCTGTGACCTGCCCCAGGGCAAGGCTGACCCCCTTCCCCCAGCCCCTGGGAGCGCGGTGGGGGCTGCAGCGGGTCCCTCCGCGCTTCGGCTCCGCGGGGCTGGGTCGGGTCTCAGGAGAAGGAGGCAGGGGAAGTGCCAGGGCTGTGGAGGGGGAATGGGCCAACCTTCCCGTAGGAACAGGCGGATGCATGGCCCGAAAGGGACAGCCCTGCCAGCCCCGCAGGACACCCCTGGGTTTCCTAGGGGATGTCAGGACAGGAGGTCCGGCAGGAGCAGCTGGTGTCGGAGGAGCTGCTGCCGCAGGGCCAGCACACACAGTGGGGTTCATTTGTGCTCTCTAAGGCAATGGGGTGTTCTCGTTACCACCACCCCAGAGCATCCTTTTGAGCCAGTGGCTTCAGCGGCCTTTATGGCCAGCAGGTTCCCGGGGTTACTGGTGTTAGTGCAGCCTTGGGGCAGTTTTGTATCGGAATTTTGGGGAGTGTGCTCATATTCCTGCATTTGATAAGGAATAAGTAACAGCGTGGCTGTAAGGCTTTGTGTTAGTCCTACAGTCTCCACCATATGTAGGCCATGCTGGCTCTTTAAAGCCCTCAAGTCTTGCTTTACTGGCACCATTGACCACACTGGGATTTATCCCAGCAATCTGCAAGGAGCAGGTCCCAGCTAAGCGCATGGCACCACCTCTGTGCCCGCTCGGGCTTGTGGTCACCGGAGCAGGGACTCATTTTCCAGATTGAACACGCTTGGCTAAAAGCCTGTCAGGCTGCGCAGGGGCAGAGACCCCCCATCCATTACGCTGCTGTTCAGAAATCTGCTGTAGTCACTCCCCGTGTGTTAGGTCCAGGTTCACGAGATGGTCTTGGCCCCCAACGGCTGC